CAGGTGCTACCATTGAATGGCCTGGCCTGTCACTTTGGATGGTTGGCTGTGTGAGACACTTGAGCAGCTAGTGCAGCAGCCAGCCAGCATCCTGAGGGGAGGTGCAGTAGGAGGAGTGCTCTTGCTCTCAGCCTGTGCTGTTGCAGAGACATGGTTCAGTCAGACTGACCCACTATGGCTGAGCAAACTCAGCGGGTTGATGGGACAGGACCAGGACTGCTGCAGCAGCTACTGCCCGCGAAGACGGCCCCCGCCGCCGTCTGTACGTGCCCCGCCGAGGCCCATGTCCCTGGAACCCAGCATGGGCGAGGTTCTCCACCTCCACAAGCAAGGTGCTTGTGGTAGCGTGGCTGTGATTGTTTGGCTTCCGTTGGGCGCAGCTCCGGCGGCGGCGGCGACGGCGGCGACGGCGGCGGGCTGTTGGTTGGTCGGTCTTTCCTTTGGCATCGACCAGCAACGCTCGCCGGTCGCTCCCCGCCTCCCACCGCGCTGCTGCCTCCTCTCAGTCGTCCTTTCCTTCTCGCTTTCAATCTCGATCCTCGCCTCGCCCCGCCTTTGCCGCCAGGCTGGCCGGGACGTCCATCCCCGACGCTGCCCACGCTGCCCGCCTCTGCTAGGCTAACCCTGGCCGTATATAATCTCCGCACCTCTCTGCTCTCTTTCCCCCCAACGACCCACCCCTCAGCCCAGCTACAGCCCCAGTCCCAGTCCCAGTCCCAGTCCCAGTCCCAGTCCCAGTCCCAGCCCCAGCCCCAGCCCCAGCCCCAGCCCCACCTCTCCCTCAACACTGATCCCCCCTTTACCCCTCACCCCTGGCAACCACCGCCCAACATGATCTTTGACCCCGTCAATGACGTCTCCAAGCTCGACCGCCACCGCGTCCTCAGCAAAAAGGCCGGCGTGCGCGTGTCGCCCCTCTGCCTCGGCGCCATGAGCATCGGCGATGCTTGGAAGGACACCCCCTTCATGAGCGGAGGCATGAACAAGCAGCAGTCCTTTGAGCTCCTCGACGCCTTCTACAAGCTCGGCGGAAAGTGAGTCGCCGTCGCACACACCTTTGTCGTCTTGCCGGCCATTACCGTCACGCACCGCTTGACCCCGCTCCTCCTCCTCTTCTCTCTCTCCCACCCTCGCAACCCAGCTTCATCGACACCGCCAACGTCTACACCGACGACCAGTCCGAGGAATTCATCGGCGAGTGGATGGAGGCACGCAACAACCGCGACGAAATGGTCATCGCCACAAAGGCCACGTCGCCCTACAAGGCACGCGAGCGCGGCACCCACATCGCCACCAACTTTGCCGGCAACTCGGCAAAGTCCATCTACGTCTCCGTAAAGGACTCTCTCCGCAAGCTCAGGACAGACTACCTCGACATCCTCTACATCCACTGTCAGTCTTGGCCCCTCTCCTTCTCGCCGACGAGAGAGAGAGAGAGAGAGCCGGACGCTTACCTGACCCACGGCCGCTTCCCCCCTTTCTCTGACCGCCCCCCTTCCTCCCCGATCGCGACCGCCCTGCAGGGTACGACTGGTCCACCTCGATCGAGGAAATGATGCAGGCCCTCAACCGCCTCGTCGTCAACGGCCAGGTCCTCTACCTCGGCATCTCGGACACGCCCGCCTGGGTCGTCTCGGCGGCCAACACCTACGCCCGCGAGCACAACATGGCCCAGTTTGTCGTCTACCAGGGCAAGTGGAGCGTCCTCGTCCGCGACTTTGAGCGCGAGATCCTGCCCATGGTCCGCTCCCAGGGCATGGCCATCGCTCCCTGGGGTGCACTCGGACAGGGCCGTTTCAAGACGGCCGAGCAGATTGCCCAGCGCGAGAAGGAGCAGGGCCCCATGCGCGGCGGCCAGGAACAAACCCAGGCCGAAAAGGACATCTCGCTCGCCCTCGAAAAGATGGGCAAGGAAGAGCTGGGCGGCCTCTCAATCGCCGGCGTCGCCCTCGCCTACGTCTTCACAAAGTATCCCTACACCTTCCCCATCGTCGGCGGCACCAAGGTCTCGCACCTCGAGGACAACATCAAGGCCATCGGCGTCATCCTCACCGATGAGCAGATCCAGAGGCTCGAAAACACCATTCCCTTTGATGTCGGCTTCCCGCTCAACATGATCGGACCCGATCCGCACGAGACGGGCAAGACCAACTTCCCCTTCCTCGCCCACGCCGGCAACCTCGACTGGGTCCGCAACCCCAAGGGCCCCTCGGTCCAGCAGTAGCCGGTCGATTGCGGCGGCACGTTTGTAGATTCTGAGTGCAAGGCAGGCGGTCTCTCACAACCATTGACGATTGCCTTTCCGGCTCTCCATGCGCAGCAGCGGGGATGTGGTCCCGCAAGCCAATCAAACACCTGATTACGCTACCGCCTCTCGGGCTACCTGCCGGCATCGGATCGAGGTCAGCCGCACGCAGACAAGGGACGAAGCTCTTTGCTCTGCCCTGGTCGGCTACACGGCACCGCATCGCACGCGGCTGGCACGGCTTCGTTGCCGAAAGGGTTGGCATCGTCTCCATCGAGCAAGCCGCCGTGAGACTGTGAGAGACTCTACACGACGCCCCGAACCACGAAGAGTGGGGTGTTCAGAACCCGGAGGCGTCGTTGACAGGAACGTGATGAAGCAAAGAAGCTACGGACTCGTCGACCGGTCTGGGTCATGTTCCGCACGTCACCACCGCTGTTTCGGGCAAGGCGGCGAATGCGGACCGTCGGATGCGGATACCGGGCAGTGACACATGGCCATAGGTCATTGCCACTCGGAGGGTGACTTAGACCGGATCGAGTTCCGTCGTCTACCACCCGGGTATACGTCTCGCTTCTCGTCAGTCGTGGTCGGGGACGACGAGAGGACCGTCGAGTCTGCTGGACTGGGAGCGAGGTACAAAAGCGTACTGCCCCTCCTCCCTTGGTGAGCGACCGCCTCACCGGCCCCAACGCCATGAAGGCCATTCTCCGCTCCATCATCCCTCTGACGATGCTGATGTACGCCGCTCTCGACGTCGTCGCGGGCCTAGCTCAAACGCCGCACCGAAGCGGACAACTCCAGGTCGCGTCCACGCTACACGTCCGCGGCATTGGCGGTGCGGAAGCCGACGCGCAAGCTTCCTCTTCGGCCTCCTTGGATGTGGAGCACATCGAGAGGAACCACCTCGGCGAGCCCGTCGAGCCCCTCTCGCGGTACACGCACATCCGCCGCGTCGTGCCGCAACCCACGCGCGATCGCGTCGCGCTGCATCAGCAGACGTACGACCACCTCGTTCGAAGCGTGCAGCACCAGTATCACGCGGCTTCCCCGGCCTCTGCTCGCCTATCCCGGATCGCAGGGCGCACGCCGGATCTCCAGGACCAGATCAAGGCGCTGCACGATGAGGAAATCGTGTACCTCTTCCACTCGCGGCCACAAGACCGCCACCTCAAGGAGCATCTCATTGACGAGTTCGCCAGGCGCACCGAGTCGGCCGGCGAAGAGGCGCTGCGCCAACTGCAGGGCCGCGCCGCGGTCAGCGACCCCCCTTCGCCCATCGCCAGGTACAACTGGATGTATCACGTCCTGGAGAACCTCAACTTTCCTCCGGTACGCAGGCTGTAAAGGGGACAGCGCTCGGCGACGCTCGATGACATTGCTATGACATGACAACGGGGGCGAATGAAATCTACAGCTGCCGAGGCGATCGGACGCCCTCGGCGTATTCCCTTGCCTTTGTCTCGGCTCAATGCCGATCCCCTGGCAGACGAGCGCCGCACCTAGTCAAAGTCGCCGGTGCTCAGGCTGGGGACGCGCTCGCCATCCTTGTCCCACTGCGCCGGCTCGGGCCCCATCTCAAAGACGAGGTCGCCACCTTGCGCCAGCTCGTGGTGCCACAGCCAGCCGCGCTTGACCGGCCTGCCGTTGAGCGTGACGCTCTGCGGGTAGAAGTTGGACTGGGTGTCGAGCTTGTTGGCGGTGATCCTGAGCGTCGTCGAACTGTTGGTGCCCGCAAAGAGGTCCATCTCGAGCGTCGGGAAGCGAGGCGCCGAGATAAAGTAGATGGGCAGAGGGGCGAGTGGCGACAGGCCGACGAGGTTCCAAAGCAGCCACGAGTTGAGGGCTCCGGCGTCGACGTTGCCCGGATACCCGTTCCGCGTGTCCGAGTAGTAGCGGTCGACAATGTGCCGGGTCTCATTGACGGTCCTCCAGGCGTTGCCCGGGACCAGGTTGTAGAGGAACGGCGCCGTGAAGCTGGGCTCGTTGCCGGCGTTCCACAGCGAGGTGCCAGCGTCGTTGTTGACGCCGACGCTGGTGCCGAACCCGGGCAGGAAGGAAGCCTCGAGACGCTTGAGGAAGGCGTCGTCGCCTCCCATGAGCTCGATGAGCTTGGCCGTGTCGTGCGGTGCGGACCCGAAGGCCGTCTCCCACACCTTGGCCTCGTACAAATCGTCGCCCCAGCCGCAGCCGCCGCACGACTTGGGGTCGTAGTTGGTCGTGTTCCAGCTGCCGTCGGCGTTGCGCGGACAGGGGAAGCCGCGGAAGCTCCCTACGCCGGCGAGCTCGGTCGAGGCATCCGGGTTCCAGATCAAGGTCCAGCGCGAAGCCTGCTTGCGGTAGCGGTCGAGGACCTTGGCCGCCTTTTTGAGGCCGCTGGCGAGGGCGTAGATGCCAAAGTCGTTGAAGGCGTACTCGATGGTCCGGCTGACGCTGCGCGTGTGGTTGCGGGTGATGAAGCCGTAGTCGTTGTACTCGTCGAGCGCACCTCGGCCTTCCTTTGTCGCGCCGTCAAACGCGACGGGATCGGCGTTGCGCTCCGGCAGCACGGACGCATCCTTGTCGGCGGCCTTGAAAGCCTGCTGCCAGTCGACGCCGTACACCTCGTTGCGCCCCTCGGCAGCGAGCTTGCCGGGCCCCTTGCCTGTCGACTTGAGGAAGGCGTCGGCGAGGATAAAGTCGGCGTGGGTGCCGCCCTGGACGCGGCCGTTGGTCTGCGCCGACCGGCCCGTGGGCATGAACCCCTCGAACTTCCAGATGGCGATCATGCTGCGGAGGATGCGGCTGAACTCGCCGGTAAAGATGAGGTGGTACAGGGGCATCGTGTGCGAGTACAGGTCCCACAGCGTATAGAAATCGTCGTAGGCGGGCTCGAGGTCGGACGACTTCCAGTTGGGCTGCTCGTTTGTCTTGTCGGTGGGCAGGAGGGCCATCTGGTAGAGGGCCGTGTAGAGCATGCGCTTGAGCGTGGCGTTGGAGGAGATGGGGTTGCCGTCGTCGACGACGCGGACGCGGTTGAGGACGCGGTCGTGCCAGGCCGTCTCTGCCTCTGCGACGACGTCGTCGATCGTCTTGGACTCGGGCAGCTCGTCGCGGATGTGCTGGCAGGCCCGCTGCGACGAGATGTACGAGATGCCGATGCGCGACTCGATGGAGCACTGCGCTGCCTGCGTGGGCGGGTGGGTGAAGAGAGCGCCGATGCCCATGCCAGAGCCGGCGCCTGCCTGGACGCTCTGGAAGGGGCGCAGCACCGGCTTGGTCGACGGCGGGTGGAAGGGATCGTACTGCCAGCTGAAGGTCTCGCCCTTTGCCTGGCCGGATACGGACGTCATGTTTGAGCAAAAGTAGACCTTGTGGGCCGACGCCTGAGCCCAGCCGCCCGAGTAGGTGGCGTGACCCTCGTAGCTGTCCCTGCCCAGCTTGAGAGCTCCGCCGGTGAACTTCTGGGTGTAGGCAAAGGACGAGTTGGCGGGAAGGACGTGGGTGAGGTCGACGAGGATGTGGCGCTCCTGGTCGCATGAGGGGAAGTCGTAGCGGACGACGGCCGAGTGCGAGGAGGCGGACATGGAGATGTTGACGCCGTTGAGCAGGCTCGTCGAGAAGCGGCCGACCTGGGCGCGCTCTGCGGCGAGGGAGCGGTTCTGCCAGTAGGTGGTGTTGTCCGCGAGGTTGACGGCGTCGAGGCTGCCGTAGATGGGCATCTGGGAGATGATGCCGTAGGTGGGTGCGCCGCCGGTGCCGTGTACGTGCATCATGCTGACGGCGGTGAGGTTGCCGAGGGGAGAGTAGCCCGAGTTTACGTCGACGGCAAGGCCCGGGGCGAGGCCGAGGTAGCTGGTGTCGATGCCGGGCTTGGCCATGCCCCACGGCAGGGCGGCGCCGGGAAAGGCATTGCCGCCTGCGATGGCGCTGCCGGGCGTTGGGCCCTCTGTGCCGATGAGGGGGTCGACATAGGTGGTGAGCCGCTGTGCGTCGGTGGCGGCGGTGACGCCAAAGGAGGTCGAGAGGGCGAGGAGCGACAGCAGGCTGCCACAGGTCACGGCGGAACGTGATGGCATCTCGAGGATCGCAGCAGGGTGGCGAGGTCGGGGGAGAAGAGGCGAGCGGGGGTGGTCGAGGCGGTTGAGCTCATTGCGGCTGGTGTGGAAGGTCGAGGTATTTGTACCTGTCGAGTGCAGCAGTGCGGCTCAGAGGAGTGGGGAAGCGAGATGGTGGTGGGGCGGAGGCTGCAGGCCAAGCCGCTACCAAGACGGTGAGCGTGAGGTAGAGTAGCAGAGGAGTAGACAAGTGCAAGGGTGGATGCCCTCAGACAGACCCCGTACGTACGGACACGCTGTCGATGGTTGCGCAACCCAACGGCGTGCATCCGCACCAAGATCGTCGCCGCCTTCCCCGCCTCGCTTCAGAGTGCGTCTTGCGTGCGGCGAGACAGCCGGCCTCGGGCTGTGGTAGAACCACCCGCACGCACACATACACATGTACGTACGTAGACCTGCGGCGGAAGGACAAACTCGAGTTGACCGGTGGCCAGACATCACCGATAATCCCACCCGCCATTCACCGGTGAGGTGCCTCGAGACGGACCGTTGCGCCGTCCCCTCACTCTCGTACCGCCTCCGACCGCGTCCGCCCTCACACGGCATCACACACGACGACCGGCTCAGGGAAGATCGAAATCAAGTACTGTGCTGAGAGATTCACTACTGCGGGCGATTCTGTCGAGTCGGTAGACGAGACCGGTGAATGTACAAGGTGAAAACGAGCGGTCGCAAAAGATGGGAACCGAGCTCGACCGACACATGGCGCTGCCCCGCTACCTGCCGCCAATCTTGCTCTTCCAGCCGGGCGCCCTCTCGAAGCCGTTGGCGCCGTACTGGAAGTCCATCAGCGTCTGCTGGATCTCGGCGCGGTTCGTCATGACGAAGGGGCCGTACTGCACCACGCCCTGCGACAGCGGCTCGCCCGCCACCAGAATGAAGCGCGCCTCGTCCGAGACGTCGTCGCTTGCGTTTTCGATCCAGACGCCGTTGGCACCGCTCTCGGGCTCGTTGCTAAGCACCATCGTGTGATAGCGGTCGTAGACAGCGCCTTGCGCGTCGTCCCCGACCCGGACCTTGCCCTTGAGCGTGTACATGAACGCGTTGAAGCCGCGGGGGATCTCTTGAAAGATGCGGCCCTTGCCCTCGAGGCGCACGTCGACGTACACCACGCCGCCATTCTGCGGCAGCTCAATCGGCGACTTGGCACCGTGCGACTCGCCGGCAACGACTTTGACCGTCCAGCCATGGCCCTCGGTCTCGACGGGCTCAGACGCACGCGGCTTGGCCGTCGGCAGCATATCCGCTTTGTATTCCTGGTACGCCGGAGGCTCCTTTTTGGCGACCGCAGGCAGGTCCAACCACAGCTGCAGGCCGTTCGGGTCCACCAGCTTGTTGCCCTGCGCATCGCGGTGGATCGGCATCTCGGCGTGCTGTCGAGGAGGCAAGAAAGGATCCGGGGAGAAGGTGCACCAGTCAGGTACGGTTCGGCAGCGAGCGGAGCTAGGGCCGAGCGCGACGCCGGACTACTCACCATGATGCCCTTGCCCGCGTTCATCCTGCGGGTCGAGGAACCAAGCAGCGGCGGATTCGGTCAGCCAAGGGTCGGATTCGACAGACGAGCGAGCTGCGACGGCTTTACTCACCACTGAACGTCGCCCGGACCAATCGTGCCAGCATGTCCCGCAAAATCTTCATGCTGTACCTGGCCCTCGAGCAGGTAAGTGACCGTCGTCATTCCACGGTGAGGGTGATCCGGGAAGCCTGCGTGCTCTGAAATTACAAAATCATCACACATGAGGAACCTTTTAAAACGAAGGAAAGGTACCATGATCAGTCAGTAGGGGTACCTTCAGGATCATTCCGCTGCTAAAGAACTTACGGCGAGATATTCCTAAGAGCTGGCGTACCGATAGAGCGGCGGACTCGGGCGCCATCTCCTTCGGCGGTTTCGATAGCCGGAACCTTCTTGACGACGAACCTCGAAATCGGAAGGGCGCTAGAGGCAGCCATGTTGATTGGTCGGGTGAGGTGGTTGGTGAGGGGGCGAGCGAGCGCTGGGCTGCGTGAGCTGAGTAGGTGGGTGCAGCGAGGGGCGAGAATGATGGCGGCGGCGGCGAAGAGGAGGCTGAGCGCGGCGGCGGTTAGCTTGTGAGATGTTTTCTTGCTTCTCTGCGTGGGAGCTGGCTTAGACATGGGAATAAGATCGGATGGACCGGAAGAACGAAGGACTCGGCCCCCTCTTATAGGCGTGAGAGAGAGTGCTTGCTCGAAGGCGAGACGGTGATGCATCGGTGCTTGGTACGACGCTCCCCGCCTCGACGCGGCGGTAAGGGCGCCCGTGCGCCTGTGCAAACCCCGGAGATTCGGCGTTATGACAGCGGCCAAACTCCGAGCCTCATCGGGCAAAGTCAGACGAAATCGTCCGGCGAAATCGGGAACGGGTTAGCCTTCAGCCTCGATATCCGGGCCAGGCAGGCGAGGGGGGTAATCAGGGGTTCACCCCTCGACACCATCTCGGACTTTGCACATCAAACAGCCTGGGGCGCCTCTCACAGCGCCGACAATGTCCACGTTGTGTGCAAGCTGAGCTGCCTACCTGCCATCAACCTGCCAAGGATGCTCTCTAGTTCGGCCGGAGAATGTCGGTGTGTGCTAACGCCGGCCTTGGCTCAGCTGTCGCCGTCGCTTCTGATCGGACATTCACTCTGTCTTCCAGTTGCATCTGGAGCATTCGGAAAAAATCGACGCCAGCTATACTGCTCTGACCAGACTGGATCTCAGGCGACATCGATAGCATACACCTTTCGGCTCTTCCAAGTGGTCACCTCGACCGCGGTTGAAACGGATCGGTCGTCGCCGACGGGCAGTGCGATCCACACGCGGGGCAGCCACAGCGGCTTGAACTGTCCGGCCTCGACCTTGACCGCGACCCGGACCGAGTTCGTGTCTGCCTCTGCGCCGAATTGCACCTCGAATGCAGCAGTCTCCGGGTTTTCGCTGACGCCGTCGTCCTCGATCCAGCGGTAGACGTACTCGCGGCCGGTTGCGCCGGGCGGCGAGGGAAAGACCTCTAGACCTCGCCAGTCGTCGTACGTCGCAAGCCCCCCCTCTTCGACGGTCCTCACCTTGACGCCGTCACCGGTCTCGATGGCCGGACCGGATCTCTGCGTCAGTGTGACCGAGTCCCTGCCGATCGGTAGCGCGGTGCCTTCGCGCGCAAACATGGCAAAGTGCTCCAGCGGCGTCGAGACGTTGTCGAGCCAGCTCCCGGCGGCGTGCACGCCGTACGGTTCGTGCAGGTCGTAGTAGACCGCCGTGTCTTCCTTGGACGTGCGCGGCAGGTAGACTCGACGTGACACCTGCTCGGCAAAGTAGGCGCCACACACAAGCAGCTGGCCGTGGCCAAGCCAGTAGTCGAAGCCGTCGAGAATCTCTTTTGAATAGAGCGTCGGGTCGGTTGCGAACTCGCCCCAGCCAAGCCATGTGTTGGGCGGCGTGGCACGCAGGTGCGACTGCCAGTTCAGGTTGTTGCTGCGATGCGGTCCGGTGATGCGCAGTCGGTCAGTTTCACGTAGTCGATGCGCGCTTGCGTCTCATTAGCGGCGTCGGGAACAAGCTCACAAGAAGGGCAAGAGTTCGTAGCGCCGCTTGATCTCGTTGCGGATGATGTCGACCACCTCGGGATACTGCGGATCGTATGGGCGAGGGCGTATGAACGGAGTGCAAGTTAGTAAAGACCGATCCGAGGACAACCACCAGACCAGATCCGCCCGCTTGCTCACCATCCACGGAAGATTGTTCGTCGCGCTGCCCGAGGGATCTTTTTCGTTGGGCTTGAAGGAGTGGATGCAGAATCGCGGATGGGTGACGCCCATCTGGACCCAGCGCACAAAGAGCTCGGGCGAAGGCAGCGGGCCGGCGAAGCCGCCCACGTCCGAGCCGTACGACTGCATGAGCGAGAGCTGGGCATTGAGGTTCATCGCTACGGCGCCCTGCAGACTCTTCCAGCAGGTGCGGTTGTCTCCCGACCAGGTCGAGGCGGCGTACCTCATCGTGCCAACGTTGGCCGAGCGGGTCAAGACGAACGGCCTGCGATCGGGATGCCGCGCGAGGAGGGCGTCGTGGCTGACCTTGGCCATCATTTCGGTCTGCGCGCGGAGGTTGCCCGGAGCAAGAGGGAGAGAAATAGCATTTATTTCTCAGCGCCGAGAAGCATGCGCCGCCGTCTTGGACGACTTGCACGTAGCAACTCACATTTGTCATACGCCCGACCAGGCCGAGTTTGATTGGTCCTCGCACCGCGTTCGGAGCGTTGGCCGAGTTGTTCTTGCAGATGTACTCGTCATCGAAGAGCAGAAACTCGTTGTTGTCGCTGCGATTGCCGTGTGCGCGGTCGGTAAGTCGTCCGCAGCCGTTTGCGCTCGCCCGCGACGCGGACCGATACTCACTTCCAGATCGCGTCGACTCCGAGATCGACAAGGCCCAGGATGCCATCGCGCCACCAATCCTGTCCCGCCTGGCTGGTGAGGTCGACCCAGCTGCCCTTTGCGTTGATGCCCGGCAGCGAAGACCAAATGCGAGTGACAACGGCCTTACCCGTCGACGGATCAGTGAAGAGTGCACCCGCGTCATGCAGCTTCTTAAAATCTGGATGGTCCTCGAGCACGTAGGGCTTGACGTTAGGCGTGACCTTCATGCCAGCCCTGTGGAAGACGCGGCACATCTCGGCAAAGTCAGGGTATCGCCTGGTGTTCATGGTGAAGACACACCGGTTGCCCTTTTCGTCGACCGTGTAGCCGGACGAAAGCTTTATAGAGGTTGCCATCGCAATCGACGTAGGGGACAGGAGATGAGGCACGGCCATAAGATCAGCACCAGGAACTGGGGTAGCACCGAGAGGCACACGCGCGCGCCGCTCACATGGATGGCCGAGCACGGAATGTCCCACTTTTTGCACAGCTCCGGCCAGCCGGACAGTAGCTCCTGTGCGATGGGTTCGTCCTGTGCGTCGGGGGGATAGCAGAGAGGCAGTCAGTACGATCTTGTCTGCGAGAGATTCGGCCGGACATGCTCCACCGTGCCTACGCTCTCTCCGAGCCCCATGCCGCTTGCAAGGTATCCGAGCCAATCGCGCGGCACGAGCTTGGGACGACCGACAAGGTCGGCGAAGCCGGCCACCACGTCCGAGAGGCCGTCGCCGATTATAATGTACTCCTCGAGGCCGCCGCACTCTTGCTCGAACTTCTTGAAGAGCGTCCAAGGCTCGTTGATCCATTTTCCGACGTCCCATGTGGCGTCCGAGTTGGATGCGTGGTAGAGTCCGACGGCAGCACGAAGAGGACGGTCCGTTGGGTCATCCGTTGGGTCATCCGCGAGCGGTTTCGGGATCGAGACGAGGAAAGGGGTGTGCTTGTACAGCGGATCGGAGAGGTAAGCGTCGTAGCCTGCGGCGTCGCTTCCTGTGATGGTAAAGCGACGGTTGGAGAGGTCGATCGGCGCCCCCTTTTCGCCGAGTCCAAGGTGCAAGGAGTTGACGTCGAGGCGGGTGTGCCTGGTGATTCCGGCGTGGTTGAGGCAGTAGGACTTGTGCGGGGTGTCTCCAAAGATGCGCAGGGGCTCCGCGCCGGGCGTCAGCTGAAAGATCTCGAGTACGATTGTGTCCTCCCAGTCGATGTGGATCTCGTATCGGGGCACGCCGCGGCCCCCCTGCGAGGAGGAGTCCGGAGGGGGACGCAGGACTGCGCGTCTGAGCCGAGCGTCGTTCTCGACAGACGCGAGCGGGATGGGGGCACCATTGAGAGTCACGTTGCTGTGCGGAGGCGGTGGCCTGTCGGGACCGGTCAGGGTGATCCTGAGCACACCGGTGGCCAGAGCTGCCAGGGTGAAGATGTAGCCATGCGGATTGGCGAGGACGAAGGCGTGCTTCTGCTGCGTGGGAGCATCCACGAGCTGAAAGCCGGTCAGAGGACGCTCGATCATACTGAACAGCTAGATGCGGTGCTGGGTCGGAGCGATGGCGCTGCTTCGAAAGGATAGATTGAGATGTCGATGAGGAGCGGAGGGGCGCAGTCCAGCATTTGGAGGAAAGGAGCAGAAGCGTGGACGGACCGGTCGGACGGATGTTACCCCCTGAGCTGGTCAGTGCGGTTGACCAGACGGGGCCGGGCCGGGCCGGGCGAGGAAGGTAAGGACATGGTCCGGGCGAGTGCCGCGAACGTGTCGTGAGGAAATCTCAGCGACAGCACCAGGTAGTCGTGGATCGACACCGTCTGCAAGCGCACGTTGACCCTCTCTCTGGCGCGCAGGGATACAGGTAAATTGACCGGTCAACAGAGCGAAGCACGCGTACTCGAACAGGCCGGCGCGGCCCTACGCTGCCTTCAGAGCCCCAAGGCTAAATTACCGATGTGATGACGCTCCCGCAACACAACGTACGCAGCCACGGTATCGGGATCCACCTGCTTGGAGCAAGATGAGGCAGCGATGGTTAGGCATACACGTACGGGCGGCAGAGACGACCGGGTGACACGGCGTGGGTTTGCATCGGCGGGGCGAGGACCCACGAGCCAGTCGGGATCACTGGCGAGGTAAATCGGGCCCCCGCACCTCGCGGGGCCACTACTGACGTCTGTCAAACCCAAACTCTGTCGCGGCAGCGCTGTCAAAGTGTGGCACCCCCCCTCTCCCCCCGCCCAAATTGCCTGACTCGCTGCGCAGCAGGCAGCCCCCGCGGGCCTGCCTCGGCCGACGGCTTCTGTCAACTGACCCGGGCTCAGTCGGGCTTGGCGCTCCGCTGGGGGGTCTACCAATTGTAGCTGTCGTGAGTACAGATCGATCAGGGTGGACGGCCGATGAGATTTCCGGGAGGGCGGAGGTCGGTGCATTCATGCTTACGCCCCTCTAGCCGCCCCCGGTGTGCCATTGGCTGGCCAGGCCGCTCGACTGGTCGCACCTTGCTCACCCACCACGGCCACCCCTGGTTCCCTACGTCCGTCGGGGTATTTCCCCGGAAGCCCCGCCCCCGTGCCGTGCCGTGCCGCGGTGCCCTCTGCACATCCGACCCCAACCCCCAATCCCCCGCAGTCATGGCCGTGGGTTGCTGCTTCAGTGGTAGTACTTACGTTCGGTAGTGACCTTCGTGTGCGTGACCCATCACCCCCCACTGTCCGTACGTACACTACCGGTACCCACCTCCGCGCGTCTCATGCTCTGAGATTGTTAGCCTGCTTCTCTGTCGAGGCCGCCGCTTCCTTCGCTGTGGACTCCGTCGCGGCCGACGCTTTGCCCCCGCTGCAACGGCCAAATCCGATCGTTCACCCCGGCCTGGCCATGCTTCAACTCGCCAGCCATGCGCTGCTTCCCTTCTTTGCTTGGGCTCCGTGTTCCATCCACTATCGCTCGGGAGCCGCAGGCGCATCCTTGCGCTTCTCCTCCGCAAGCGGCTCTGAGTTGAATTTGGCCCGCTCGTGCCCACCATGACACGGAGGGCGACCGTCTCTCCCTCGACCGCCACCATCCGGGAATGGCTGCAGATTCCCCGCCCTTGCTGTGCAGTCACTCGCTACTGTACCCCGTGGCGAGCCACGGGGGGACAGACGCCAAGCCTCGTTTCCGCAACGGTTGTCCCGGTCTACGTTCAGGACTGTCGGTGCCTCACGACCGTTCTCGCCGGGCCTGAGGCACCATCGCTCCTACCCCACATTCTTGATTGTCATCGCTGCGCGAGCGAGGTGCAAGTGCATGCAGCCGCGAGGGGCCCCGCGTCGGTCTAGACGGCGTGGACACGACGCCGAGTCTGTCTCGCTTGCCCCTTGAAGTGCCTACCTGCCTCGCTCTCTTGTTCTGTCGCCAAAAGGCAAGCAAGCTTGTATCGGCCACGTTGCTGCACAGCTCGCCAGACCCCATCGTTGAGGGCCCACGTCCTTGCACGAGACCTACAAAACCGGTCGATCGAGCAGCCAGACTTGCTGACCTCTTCCGCGTCCTTCACCTTCTTCAACGCCGACTCTGCCGAATCGAACCACCCCTTCCTCCCCACTTCGCACTTGACGACCATCGACAGACATGTCCGCTCCAGACACCCCCAGCCAGGAGAATGAAAAGAAGCTTCACCCCGTCGAGTCGACCACGACCGATGCCTCGTTCCTAGAGAAGGGCATCAAGCCCTCGACCGTGCCGGTCCTGCCCAGCACCATTGTCGAAGAGGCCGATCAAGAGGTGCTGGCCTTTACCGATCAGTCGGTCATCATCACCCCAGAGGAGAACAAACGCCTCCTTCGGAAGATTGACAAGCGCGTCCTCGTCATCATGCTCGGCACCTACTTCGCCCAATCGCTCGACAAGGGCACGCTCGCCTTTGCCGCCATCATGGGCATCCGCAAGGATCTTCACCTCGTTGGACAGCAGTACAGCTGGCTCACCACCTGTCTGTACCTCGCGATCCTCGTCTGCGAGTTCCCGCAGAATCGCCTCGTGCAGATCCTGCCCATCAATCGCTGGTTGGGCTTCTGCATCATCAGCTGGGGCGTCGTCGTCACCTGCACCGCTGCCGTCGAGAACTGGGCAGGCGCCATGGTCGTCCGCACGCTCCTCGGCGCCTTCGAGTGCGTCTGCCAGCCCGCCTTTATCCTCCTCTCCGCCGTCTGGTACCGCAAGGAAGAGCAGGCGCGGACGGTCACGCTCTGGTACTGCATGAACGGCGTGCAGGCGGCCGTCGGCGGTCTACTGGCATACGGCTTCTACCACATCAAGGGAGCCGCCATCTCGTCATGGCAGATCCTCTACGTCACTCTGGGCTCTGCCACTATCTTGTGGGGCGCCTTCTGCTGGTACTGGCTCCCTTCTTCGCCGATGCGCGCTCGCGGCTTCACCGAGGAAGAACGGACAAAGTGCCTGGAGCGCGTTCGCGAGAACCAGACCGGCGTCCAGAACAAGAAGTTCAAGAAGGACCAGCTGATCGAGGCGCTGCTCGACCCGCAGACATGGGCCCTTTTCCTCATCCAGGTCCTCAACACGATCCCCACAGGTACGTTCGCCTTTTTTTTTCTTTTTTTTTTTCTTTTCTGCCAACACCACTATCCAGCATGTTCACCATGTGTGGCTGACAATCCTCACTCTGTTCTTGATCAAAACACGAGCCCAGGAGGTTTGGGTGTCTTTATGAACATTGTCATCAGCACCAACCTTGGTTTCACGGTTTTGCAGACAAATCTGCTCTCTATTGCCCAGGGCGCATTCCAGGTCGTCGGGCTGCTCAGCGCGGCGTGGATCAGCACCAAGTGGAACCAGACAATCTACGTCGCGATTCTCTGGACGATCCCCGCCGTCGTGGCTTCCGTCTGCTTCTTGACGGTGCCCAACACGCCAGAGCATGCCGCTGGTCTTTTGATCGCCTTCTATTTCACTCTCTGGCTGCAGGCGCAGGCGACGTTGTCGTTCAGTCTGCTGACGCGCAACGTCGCGGGCCAGACGAAGCGTTCGATCATTACGGCCATCACCTTCATCGGCTGGTCTGGCGGCAACTCGATCGGACCTCAGCTCTTCCAGGCCAAGGACGGCCCGCTCTACCGAGGAGCTTTCGCCGGTCAGCTTGGATGCTACGCCGCCTCGATCACGGTGCTCATGCTGCTGCGCCTTTACTACGTCGACCAGAACCGACGCAAGAGGAAGGCGTCTAACCTGATGCACGGCCGCGACGAGAACGCCGCCGACGAGGTCGACCTGTCCAACGCCTTTGCCGACCTGACCGACAAGCAGAACATCCACTTCCGTTACTCGTACTAGGAGAGCCTGGACCCACCGCTTGATGCGCTCTCCCTGCAGGTGCCTATGTCCCTTCACGATCACGACGCCTTTGTACGAATCACATTTCCCCTCTCAATAACGATGCTCATATTCGATGTGATTGAGTTCGAAGCAGATCAGGACAATGTTCACTTTCGCCTCCAGCTTGGACCGTTAAATGGCATTGGGGCAGGCCTTGGAGTGTATGGTCGTGAAGTCGCGAGCGTTGTCAATATGCGCCACTCTGCAGCGAGCGCCGGGCCGTGCGAGCTCATGCGAGATGGGTGGATCGGCGTGGTCTCAACGCGCGCTGACCCGTTGTCCGCATGTTGAAGCTGCATGACTGTGCGTATGTACACTTTCTAGCCCGCGGCGCTCGCCGAGGGGGCGGAGGGGAGCCGTATGTGTTGCAGCAAATGGGGTCGGGCGTGGTGATGATGCTGGAGTGGGGTGAGGTGTGCATTGTGCAGCACGGCAAAGTCAGCGTCATGTCGGGACGGGCGAAGTCGAGGAAAGTCACGATTCCGCCGAACCTGTCGGAACACGACGACGGCCTACGGCGTTTCCACGACGTGGGCGCTCGAAGGCGACAGAGAACGTGGGGGCCCAAGACTTACCCCCGTTCCGCAGGTACCGGTACCCCGCACCATAAGGACGATACTCTGTGGGGAAACCATTCCGACTGCTACTTCCCATCGACGTGGGGGGGAGGCAACAAGCGGGCGGTGCTGGCAGGGGTTGCTTGTGGCTCGGCCAGGGTGCAGTTGTGCATAAGGTACCTCGAACCATTGCAAACCAACAGATTGCTGCACATACAAGCAAGCTGCTCCCATACCGAACACGCCATGACGGCCGGACATGGGACCGGCCACGACCGAGGGCCGTTCTGCCCTTTGTCTGCCAGCAGTTTCGATGTGCTAGAGACATTGCATCCTGCTCGCAGCCCTCACCGGCATCTACAGACCGAAGTCAGTTTAGAGCAGAGTCGTGATCACAAGAACCGCCGCCGCCGCTACCTGCTACTTATAAGATTGACTGGACCTGCCTGTCTCTATCCGCTCCCCTCTCCGACGCTCAACACCCTCACCACTCCCCCTCTCCATCTCAAAGCCTCGATCACGGTAACCGCTTACCAGCATGTCTCCCGCCGCTACCACCCAAGAGACCGCACCCAGTCACGCCCCGGGCCCGTCGAAGGGCGCCGCCGCCGCGTCGACCCTCGCTCCCTCAGTCGAGCATGACAAGGCCGCAGAACTCGTCGACAGGCTCATCCACAAGCTGCTCAACAACGAAGACACCAACAAGGAATTCCTCCTGCCCCTCGCAGATGGCCGCATTATCGACACAAAGGGCTGGAACGGCTGGGAGTGGACCCACGGCGTCGCCCTCTTCGCTCTGTGGGAGCACCACGCCCTCACCGCCGACAGGCGCTCCCTCGATATCATCACGAAGTGGTTCCACGACCGCATGGCCGAGGGCGGGACCACCAAAAACATCAACACCATGGCGCCGTTCCTCGCCCTTGCATCCATCTACGAGCGTAACCCGCGGCCGCAGTACAAGGAGTGGCTCCTCGAGTGGGCCGAGTGGGCGATGAACGGCCTGCCAAAGACCCACGAGGGAGGCTTCCAGCACATGACCTACATCGACGATCACGACGGGCAGCTCTGGGACGATACCCTCATGATGACGGTGCTGCCCTTGGCCAAGATCGGACTCGTCCTGGACCGGCCGGAATTCGTCGACGAGGCAAAGTACCAATTCCTCGTTCACATCAAGTATCTCAGCGACTCGAGGACCGGCCTCTGGTACCACGGTTGGAACTTCAACGGCCGCCACAACTTTGCGAAGGCGCTGTGGGCCCGCGGAAACTGCTGGATCACGGTCGCCATCCCAGTCTTTCTCTCGCTCCTCGGTGTCCAGCCCGACACCTCCGACTTCTTCACCCGGACTCTGCTCGCCACGCTGCGTGCTCAGCTCGACCAGCTGACCAAGCTGCAGGACCCCCAGACTGGCCTTTTCCACACGCTCCTGGACGACCCCAACTCGTACCTCGAGTCCTCAGCCACGGCCGGCTTTGCGGCAGGCACTCTCCTTGCCCTCCGCAATGGCTTCCTTTCTTCATCGCCCAACGCCGCCGCCTATGCGTCCATGGCCCAAAAGGCCCTCGGCGGCGTGGTTTCCATGATCGCCGACGACGGCGAGCTGCAGAACACCAGCTTCGGAACGGCCATGGGCAACGATCTCGACTTCTACCGAAACATCGCGATAACCCCGATGCCTTATGGCCAGGCTTTGGCTCTGTTTGCTGTCGTCCAGGACATGGCGTTGGCCACCAAGCCGTAGCCCGTCGGACAGGGCCGGCGCCCAGCCATTGCTCCACGCCGCTTCGGTCCTCGTAGAGGTCCACCCATGGTGCAGCGCGAATCGTGGATCAAACCTGTCTTTGCAAGAGTCTTGGGCATCGAACTGAGCTCCGTCGAAGGTACCTTTGTACATACATACATGTATGGCCGAACAAGAAAGTGAGCACTGAAGTGGAGCCACGGACTAATCGATGGAGCAAGGTGGGGAAAAGGGCAGGCCGGTGCGAAAAAGGTGTCGGACCGGGTCGAGGCCAGTCGGTGCTGTGCTGTGCGGTAGGGCCGAGCCGTCACTTGCCCTCGAGGGCGTTGAGCGCACCGTTGGCTCGGAGGTGAACCATGTTTTGAAGGCTGTACTTGCCCTTGCGACCCCGATCCTCGAGGGTCTTTTGCGAAAGGACGAGGTTGAGCTGCTCCTTGGCGTCGGCGGTGCGACCCATGCCGGCGTAGAGGCGGCCGAGCTCGTAGTGGGCAAAGTAGACTAGCCAGTGGTCCAATCTGAGCTTGGCGCCGTGTTCGAGGACGGTCTTGAAGCTCATCTCGGCCTGCTCGGCCGCCTCGTCCTCGGGGATAGGACTCTCCTGCGGCCGGACCTTGCTGTGCTTCTCGGGGTACGCGATGAACTTGAGGCAGACGCCGCGGAGGAAGTGGGCCAGGGCGAGGTCGTCGTAGTATTCCTCTCCTGAGTAATAGCGCGAGGGGTCTTCGACGTCGTGCAGCTCGGCGAGCGCATCGCTCACCAAGACGAGCGCGTCGTCAGCCAGGACAAAGCGGGGTGCGTTGGAGAGGCAGTGATAGACGTAGCTGAACTCGAGCCCGGGGAGCAGAAGGCGGTTGTACGCGTTGAACTTTTTCGCCTTGCGGGCGACAAACTTTTCCATCGGAATCGACTTGCCAGCGATCTTCTGTGTGAGGCCTGGCACCTTGCCAAAGAGTTCGGCGGCATCCTCGAGTTTGGAGGCGTCCTGGCCCTGGGCGCTCTCGTAGAGCGTGGCGGCGCGGCCATAGTTGTAGACGGCCTTGCTCCAGTTGTTCTCCTCGGCCATGATCTTGAAGTTCTCGTAGGCCTGCTGCCACTCGCAGAGGGACATGTGGCAGAGGGCCAGGTCCCAAACGCAGATGTGCTTGAGCTGGACGTACTCTTTTTGCACGTCGCGCGCCGTCTCGAACTGCTTGACGGCCTTTTCCGAGAGCGCCTGCGTCGAGTAGAGGCGCCCGGAAAAGTAGAGAAAGAAGACGCCGTCCGGGTACCTCTTGAGGTTGTAGTGCAGCACCTTGTCGGCGAAGCCAATGTCGACGCCGTTGACGGGGATAAAGGTGGAGATGACGAGGTGGTAGAGGAGCAGGCCCATGTCGCAGATCTGACGGCGGACGCCCTCTTCGCTCTGGGGCATCGTCGGCCTCTTGACGCCAGCGTCCATGCTCCAGCCGCCGGCCTTGCTGAGCGTCTTTAGTGCCCATTTGCAATCTCCCGTGTAGCCAAAGACCTCCATGATCTTGAGGACCTTGCCCGGGAGGAGGCCGAGGATCATGCTGATCAGGCCACTGCCGAGGTAGACGCCGGAGCGGAAGTCCTCGTCGATGCCCTCGGTTGCTCCCTTTTCGTCGGCCCACTCGAGGTACTTTGTCAGGCTGCGGTAGATGCCGTAGGCGTTCCGCATATTGAGGGCCTCGGAGACAAACGCGAAAAAGTCGCCAGCGTAGACAATGCCGAGCACCGCCTTGAGCAGCAGCGACTCTGCGTACACCAGTTCGGCGTGCTTCTGCACCGTGTCCATGCCTGCGAGCGTCGAGGGTGACTGGCCGGTTCCGCGGACAAAGCGACCGAAGTTGGCGACCGAGCTCGAGGGCTTGCGCAGCATGTTGGCGATGATGAGGGAATCCTTGCAGAGCGAGATGGCGCTGGCGAGATCGGTAGGCTCAAACGTCATGAAGCCTTTGATTGTAGCAATAATGGCGTAGCCGAGGGCGTAGTAGAGCCTGGTGTCGGCGTGTTCGGCGACGATCTCCTCGGCCTCGATCATGCGCGAGTTGAGGAAGAGGTGCAGCGCTTTGCGCGCCACTTCGACGTCTCCCCTGAGCTCTTCCGCGGTGAGCTTGACGTCGTTTACGCCGAGCTGTGCGACCCGAGCGGCCTTGTCCCGTACGTGCCGAGGGATATCGCCGTTGGCCTTGGCGTCGGCGGGGGTCATGACCTGCTCGGCGCCGGCCGTCGCCGTCGCAGCGCCGGCCCGTCGGGAAGCAGAAGCGGTACCGCGCGGCTTGTAGCTCGATCCGGCAATGTTCCCGACCTGGCCACTGCCCTTGCCCTTTCTGGGAGACGCTAGCGCGGCGTTCTTGGCTTGCTTGTGCTCGCGACCGGCCACGGCGCCCTGATCCTCTGCACTCTGACCATCGTCATCCTCGAGATCCTCTTCTTCCTCGCTGCCTTCGGTGATGTTGGCGAGCTCGGCGTCGTAGAACTCTTCGTCCGAGGACTCGTCGCTGTAGATGTGCGAGTGTTGGGCATCGCCTTGGTCAGCGCTGGCATCACCGTTGGATTTCGCAAGGAGCGTGCCGGCGGCGCCGACCACCCCCGCGGCAGCCGACGAGGCTGCCGCTACGGCCGATCCAACGAGGGAATCATTTATCGCCGGCTGAGGCGCATCGCTCTCCTCGCTGCCGTCATCCGACACCGGCGCATCAGCCTTAGCTCCGTTCTTGGACGTCGAGTCAGCGCTACCTTGCCGACGGCCCAGGGAAGCTCCGTCGCTCTTGCCCTGACTCTTGCTTCGAGCGCGTGCGAGCGTGCCGTCGGCCTTGGCAAAGGGATCGATGAAGCCGGTCCCCGGCGCTTCTTGAGCAGGAGATGGCGATGTACGCTGCCGCATGTACCTGCGCGAGCGAGGGGAGGCTGAGTAGGAGCCGCCATCGGGGGACTGCACGGTCTTGTACCCCTCGGACGTAGCCGTGTTGCCCTCTTCGTTGCTCCGAACTGGTCCCCCAGAAGCTCGCAGGGCCTCGGGCAGAGCTGGGACAGGGGGAGGAAGGTCGGCGCTCTCTGGGCTGGCGTTCCCAGTCTTGTCGGGGCCAAAGAGCGAAGACACGCTTGGGGTCCTCTTGCGCGTGTCGAGCTTGAGGCTCATCCTGCGCGCCGTGCCGCTAAAGGTCCTGAGCCGGGAAGGTGCAGGAGCTGCGTCCGATCCGGCAGCAGAGGCGATGCCAGCTTCGTCCGAAGGGGAGCCGTTGCTAGCGGAGGCAGTGCGGCTGCGCCTGCGCAAGAGGTTCGAGAAGCCAGATCCTTTGGACGACCTGCGAGAGGAGATGGAGCGATTGTCGTCGGCGGCAGCAGACTGGTCCGGATCCTGGCTGAGGGAATTTTGGGAGAGGTTGGAAGGCCTGCGGCGAATGCTCATGCCGCCGCCGCTCCTCCAGCTGCGACCACTGGAATCCGGAGGCGCTAGGAGGCTGTCGGAGCGGTACGCGCCATCCTCTGGGGGCGAGCTAGAGGCTCTGATGGACCTGTCGCGGGTGGCGCCCTTGGAGGGCGAGCGCTGCGAGGAGATGGAGGGTGCCTTTGAGGTGGGCTTGGGCTGAGACAGCGACGACGAGGATTTAGAACGAGGATAGGCGGGCGTCTGGTTGGAGTTCGGTGCGTTGCTGGAGGCGTCAGACGCCTTGCGGGAGCGCAAGAGGGCGTCGGTGTTGGAGATGGGAACGGGGTGGGCGTGGCTGTCCTGATCCTGGATGGGGTTGCCGAAGCGGGCGGCCGAGGCATCGATGCCGGCAAGGATGGCACGGCGGCTGCCAGTGGTGGGCCTCCTCGTGAGCGGTCCGGATGAGGAACTCGAGGGCATGACGGCGGCGCTGGACATGGTGGTGGCGGGTCAAGCGGGGTGGGCAGAGCGTGGGCAGCGGAAAGTCTAACGAGGGAAGCCGACGGCCGAGATGGTGGGTCGAGCTGCGCGCGCGCGCCCTCTAGCAAGGCTGCAGCGAGAAAAGGAGGCGCGAAGGGGGAAAGCCGTTGACCTGCAGCTGCGCTACTCGCCGACTGTCGCTAGAGAGCGTGCGTGTGTGACCTAGTGTGCTGCCTCCGAGCAGCTGAGGACTTGTTTGCAAGTCAAGCTGGTGGAGATGTCGAGACGTACGTGGACGATGCGAGCAGCGGAACAAGGATCTGCTGGAAGCGAATACGAGGGGATCGTGTGGCAAAGGATCGAAGGCCCGCCTCTGCTCGCGCCCTTTTGTAACAGCCACGTACAGTACGCTCCTCCCCTTGGTCCAAGCAAGGTGACAGCCAAGTCGAGGCAGGCGGCTGGCTTGCTTTCTTTCACAAGAGTGTGCTGGATCAGAGCGTAGAGCGGTTGGCGTACAGAGGGCGGAGTCTAAGCTGGGCTAGCCTCTTTGCCGTCCATCCATCGTCACCGGCTGGGCTGAGCTGGCCAGCCAGCGTTGCAGCTACAGCAACAGAGATCTTCCGCCCCAGCGCCTCGTCCCCGAGAGGTGTCTGAGCTGGACGCACCCCAAATCCCCAATATCGCCTCGCTTACCCCGCACGCAGTTCGTTTGAAACCCCACCAGCCAGGCAGGCCACACACAGCACGCAGGCAGCCAGCCATAGCCAGCCAGCCAGCCAGCCAGCCAGCCAGCCAGCCAGAGGGCCCCAACGACGCACCCGCCTGCAGAGCTGCGCAAGGCGGTAGCCGCAAGCCCGGGGTCTCAGAGACGGCTGCACACGCTGCATCGGCTACCTGGCGGGCCTGACCGGCTGCCGAACCGAGCGTCAGAGCTCGGTTCCGCACACATTCGGAGCCGATGCCGGCCAACCAAGCCCACTCTACGACTCTCAGGAAAATTGGCGGCCGCATCCCGGGACGCAACTTCCAACCTGGCCTTCACCTCTTCATCAGACACCATCAAGGATCCTTGCTGATCACCTGCACCACGCTACTACCTCCGCTCGCCACTTGGATCGGCCTCGCGATAGACGCACCAGCAATGTCTGCCCTCGGGTCTCTCCGCGCCACGGCTCGCTCCACTGCCCTAGGCTCCACCAGAAGCGCCTTGGCCCGCTTCTCGACCTCGTCGCCGCATTTCTCGGCGCTCGACGACCTCAGTAGCTCCATCGAGAAGCTCGCCGCCAGCAACCAGTCCAGCAGCGCCTCCTCCTCATCGTCCACACAAAGGCCGCTCTCGGGCGCCGTCCACACGCCTCGGCCGGCCGCCGCGACGCCCATCAGCAGAGATCGCCAGACTGTCAGCGGAAGGGCTTTCCTCAACGGCCACGTGAGTGTTTGCCAAAGGATATCGCATCCGCAGCAGCCTGCAGAGTCTGCCCCTAGGAAACGGCCGCTGAACGCCCCTGCATTCTGCTTTCGCCCGCTCGCGCCGTCCCATGGTCCTCGCACAGTACTACAACCCGCAAACGCTCTCGTACCGCAGCATCACCGAAAAGGCACCGCAACCTGCCCGGCCTCTGCTGGGGCCCTCGAACAAGGAGGCCAAGGCCGGCGATCTGCTCCACATCAACAACCTCAAGCCAGGGAAGCCTTCGCTGCACGACGACTCGTACAAAAACGGCGCCATCCTGTCGGCCTACATTTCCGAGATGGGCAAGATCATGCCGCGCAGCGCGACGGGCCTCACACGGAAGAGCCAGCGCAACATTGGCAAGGCGGTCCGACGCGCCAGGGCCATGGGTCTGCTTCCAGTCATGAGCAGAGGAGGGTCGAGGGCCGGCGGCGCAGGCTGGAAGTGAGGCGCAAGGTATCGTTGGGCGGCGATCTTCGATGGTTAAGGCCAAATCCCCACGGTTCACTCATCCGCCCACATGCATTGTTCTCACTGGGCTCTTGGCTGAATCGTGCGTGGCAGCGTGTCTAAGATGATGCGAAGCAGGGGAGCTCGCGCTCCCGTTGTCCCGTGTCAGGTCGTCGGGCTGGAGAGCTCGGCGGTCGTCCCCGCGATGGCCTTGAGCGCCTCCTGGTCGGAGACGTCGTTCAGGAGGCGGAAGACGTGTTTGAGGGTCGAGATGCGGTGCTGCTCGTCGCGCAACTCGATGACCTCGGCCGGCTGGTGGCAGTCGGCACCGCCAGCTCTGCGGGTCAGTCTGTTTGCAAAGAGGACGTCTTCGGCGATCTGGGTAGGATGGTAAGGATAGAGGACGCACGGCAAGCCGTCCTGGTCGCACATCTGCCGCGCGTCTTTCTCGCCGCCGGGCAATCTGGCTATCGCGTTCTGCACCACCATGAGGGTCCTGGTGAAGATCGAGTCCGGGCTGGTCGAGGTGAACCAGTTGGACGTCTGGTCAGGTCCACACACGCGGGACCGGGATGGGAGC